AGCATGAAAACTGCAATCATGATATTTCAGGAGCTAGCAAAAATTTTCCATGAAAGGCCAGATAGTAGGACTGGGGGGGTAGATAGCTCAGTTAATGAAGTCCCTGGGGTGGTTTGAATGAGAATGGTCCACAGGCTCATGTAGTTATACAGTCTCCAGTTGGTGAACAGAAGGATTAGAAGGGTGGCCTTATTGGAGCAGATGTGGCTTTGTTGGAGGAATTGTGTCTCTGGGGGTGGGCTTTGAGGTTTCACATGCCAAGCCCAGTCTCTCTCTGTCTCTCTGTCTCTGTCTCTCTGTCTCTGTCTCTCTCTCTCTCCCTGCCTGTAGGTCAGGATGTAAAGCTCTCAGCTGCTGCTCCAGCACCACACTTCCCGCCATGATAATAATGGACTAAGCCTCTGAAACTGTAAGCAAGCCCCCGATAAATTCTTTTATAAGAATTGCCTTGGTCATGGTGTCTCTTCATAGCAATAGAAACCTAAGGCAGTACTTGCCTTACAAGCACGAGGACCTGAATTTAATTATCATAACCCATATTTTAAAAAGAAAAAGTCAGGCAGGGTGTCACATGCTTATAATCCAGCTTCTGGGGGAAGGGCCTGGCAAATCCCTGGGGCTCAGTGGCCAACCACTCTTGCCTAATTGGCAAGCCCCAAGGCCAATGACAGACCTTGTCCCAAAAACAAAGTTGATGGTACCCGAGGAAGGCCATCCTTAGATGTCCTCTGTCTTCCACGACCATGAGCATAAATGTACCCACAGACATGTATACCTGTAGACGAATTTCTAAATAGTCTTATTAAATAAAAAACAGGGAGCCAAATATAGGGGTGAAAGCCTTAGATCAGGGAAATAGGGAGAGCCACCAGCCAACCTTACCTCACCAACTCTGCAGCTTCCAAATGCAAGCTACTTCCTGTCTAACCTGTGCCTTTACTGCCTTGCTTTCCTGCCCTCTCCTTGACTCTTAGCCCAACTACCTCACTTCCTTGTCACTGCCTGTCTGTACAGACCTCCAGGTCTCTATGGTTGGTGCTGGGATTAAAGGCGTGTGTCACACTTGTCTCTGTTCCCTAGTATGACCTTGAACACACAGAGGCCCTGCCTGCTAAGTGATCGAATTAAGGGCGTGTGCTGCCTGATTTTGTTTACTTAAAATGGCTGGCCTTTTCCCCCTGATCTCCAGGCAAGCTTTATTTATCAAAGCACAAATAAAATATCACCACATATACCCACACACAAAAGGCCAAATAGTAACTATGAATTTGATATTGAATAGTAACTATGAATTTGATATTAAAGACCACCCAACTCTATAACAAGCACTCAACTCAACTACTGAAGGGTAAAAGTGGTCATAGGAAGTATGTACAACAAATGTGTGTGGCTGTGTTCCAGTAAAACTTTATGGATATTAAAGGTTGGATTTCAAAAGATTTTAATACGGGCCTGGAGAGATGGCTCAGCAGTTAAGAGCATCTGGCTGCTCTTCCAGAGGTCCTGAGTTCAATTTCCGGCAATCACATGGTGGCTCACAACCATCTGTAACGAGATCTGGCGCCCTCTTCTGGTCTGCAAGGACACATGCAGACAGAACACTGTATACATAATAAATAAATTAAATCTTAAAAAAAAAGATTTTAATGCAACACAAAAGATTATATAAAAATCCAATCATTTAAAACTTCAACAATTAAAAATGTGCATTCTTACTTGCGGTGTGTACAGAAGCAGGCAGCAACCTGGGAATGCCATGGAAGAATGTGATCTAATTCTCAGAGCTCTGTGCCTCTGTGACACCCAATGACAAACTAAAGAGAATTATCTCTCTGTGTAAAGCTTCAGAGTGAGTTTCACCCTGTCTTCATTTCATATCCAGTACTAGTGTTTTGGAGGCAGACATTTACAGACTAACTTCTTTGGGGAAATTTTTCATTTTCAAAAGCTAAAACCAAGAAGATAATTGTTCTATTTCTGGGAAACACTAGCTGTATGCCTCAGTCAACGTTATTGTATAAATCTGTGTTTCAATAAGTTGTCTTAATAAACAGGCATCCACATGTTTAAATTTTATAAGTTAAAGTTAGCTAGAATTTGAAAACACACAAGAATATTAAAAGTTTAATACAATATTTGATATGCTTAAAAAGATGTGACCTTAAGGCATATTTCTTTCAGCAAAAGGGCACCTTCACCTCAGAGTTTTTAGGAATATTTAAAAACTTAAACAATCCCTTTTAAAGATGACAAGCACTTTGGAAGTGAAGCCATGATGAGTTCACTGCAGTGGGTACTGTTTTACCGCACTAAGGACTGAACTGAAACTGCCAGCCTGTGTCAGAACCAGCCAGAGGAACAACTTTCAGTCCCTGGGAACCTGGGAAGGAGGCCTGCCACTCCAGATCTTGATGCTTGGCCTCTGAGTGTGAGGAACAGTCTTGAACCCCAGCCTCCATCTTCACATGTTTACATTTGAGTATTTAAATGTGAATTTGATCACATCTCTAAATTTTAGTAATGATAACATAATTTTTCCAGTGTTTGAGATATTTGTTTTTGGGGGGAGCATTCTATTTTTAGTTTGTGAACTACAGTTACCTTCAATTGCAGTCACAGTATTTTTTCTTTTTTTTTTTTTTTCTGCATTGCTAGATTTTTAGATGTTTCTCTCAGAACTTCCCAGTCTTCATGTTTTTAATTTTTGAAACTGGGTCACATTTACCCACAGATGTCACATAAAAGGATAGATAAACAAACAAGGCAGACAGATGATTTTTATAATAACTGGACTTCCTTCTAACAAGTTGTTTTGAACTTAATCCTGAGATTTGTATCTCTTTCAACCATGTTATAAAATAATAAGACAAAAATGAGTATCCTAACTATAGAGAATGAAGTTACTTGTACATTTAATGGAATTTAAGGTAATCATTTTGATATCTACCTATGTTGAAAAAAACAAAAAACAAAAACATTGGTGAGTGTACTGGTAAAACTGAGCAAGTACAGACAAAAGAATAGTGTTTTTTAAAAAGAACAAGACTAGACCCTTATCAAACATATGTAAAAGTTGACTCAAGAGCTATAGAAGGACTCAGTGGTTAAGAACACTTGCTGCTCTTGCAAAGGACTAAAGTTTGGTTCCCAGTACCTACACAAAAGCTCACAACTGCTTGTGACTCCAGTTGTAGGGGGTCAGATGCCCACTTCTGACCCCCCTGGGCACTAGGCATGCACATAGTGATTATACACGCATTCAGGCAAACCCTCATGCAAGTAAATAAAAAGTAAGCCGTTTGTGCTGTGAGATGATTTTTAAATTGAGCCATTTTTCTCTTGTTTCGTAACTGGAATGGACACTCCACTACACCGCTGTTGTCATATGGGACGCCATGAGGTGGTGGCCACACAATGCTGCCTGTGAACCGTGCGGGAGTGCCCAGTGTCTCCTTAATAGTTCTAGGAAGTTCTCTGGCTAAAGCCCAGCGCTGCATCTGTTGGGCAATGCTGAAAACTCTCATTAAAAGCGGTATTTCCACCGTGTTTATCATTTTCCTGCTTCTTTCTGTCTCTTGGTGGCTCCATGAGGGCTTTGCTGATTAGGGCAGAGACAGAGGGAACTGTAGCTAGAGTTTTCCTGCCTGGCCCACAGTCAGGACAAATCTCTCTCACCCGCCAGTCCCACAGACGCTCAGACCCGACCAAGTAAACACAGAGACTTATATTGGTTACAAACTGTATGGCCGTGGCAGGCTTCTTGCTAACTGTTCTTACAGCTTAAATTAATCCATTTCCATAAATCTATACCTTGCCACGAGGCTCGTGGCTTACCGGCATCTTTACATGCTGTTTGTCTTCGTGGCAGCTGGCATTGTCTCTCTGACTCAGCCTTCCACTTCCCAGCTTTATTCTCCTCCTTGTCCCGCCTACACTTCCTGCCTAGCCAATGGCCAATCAGTGTTTTATTTATTGACCAATCAGAGCAACACATTTGCCATACAGACCATCCCACAGCAGGGAACCACCTCATCTGGGCCTGTCTGTCCTGAGTGGCCCCTTTCACTGTCATCCTCAGACCTTTCCAATCAGGGGCTGCTTTGGTGATGTCATCACCAACTTATTTTGGAGACTCTGGGGACCAATTTGGGGGGCCAAGGAGGATGTGGTGCCAACTCGCCTCCAGTGCACCTCAGGTACACAGCGTTGATCTTGTTAGAGTCTAACTTGGACAGCATGGTGGAGATGTCTGGTATTAAATAAACCTGGATTTGGGACTACTAAAGAACGTGCCTCTGAGCTGAAAGCAATATGCGTACATACTATGGTGGTTTGAATAGGAATGGCCCCATAGACTCAGGTGTTTGAATGCTTAGTCACCAGGGAGAGGTGAGCACTATTACGAGATGTGGTCTTGTTGAAGGAAGTGTGTCACTGGGAGTGGGCTTTGAGATTTCAAATGCTCAAGTCAGGCCCAGTATCTCTTTTTTCTTGCAGCCTGCTGATCTGGATGTATAACTTTCAACTCCTTCTCTAGCACATCTACCTGTGTTCTCCAGCACATCTACCTGTGTGCCACCATGCTTCTAACCATGATGATAATGAACTAAACCTCTGAACCTGTAAGCCAGCCCCAATTAAATGGTTTCCTTATAAGAGTTGCCATAGTCATTGCATGGTCTCTGCATAGCAATAAAACCCTAAGACACACAGATACACACACACACACCTTTAAAAAACTACTCAAAATAGATTAAAGAACTACACATGAGAGCTAAAAGTAAGAAATATGGTGGGGGGGCGGGATTAAACTTGGCAATGATTTCTTGGACACTAGAAACACAGGCAACAACAATAACAACAAAATAAAAACAAAAAAAGTCCACAAACTCCATGAAAATTGTAAACTTTATGGCTGTCTGCACGGGAGCCTGGTAACTCAGCTGTTTGTGAGGCTTAGGCAGAAGGGTCACAAGTTAGACAGCAAGCTCAATACTAACCTGGGTAACCGCACGACTTTGTCTCAGGATGTAAAAACCACATCAGGCTGGGGTATGGCTCAGTGGTAGAGCACTTGTCCGGCATATGCTTAGGTCGAATCTCCAGGACTGCCCCCTCTCCATCTCAACAAAAAGAGATGTTAGCAACCAAGTAAAGAGGGCATCTACCCGAAGGAGGAGCTATCGGCTAATTACACATCTTAACAAGAGACTAATATTAAGAACGTGTAGAAAATGCCTAAAACTCAACAACCCCACTCAATTAAAACAATAAACAGCAATGGACCTGAATAGACATTTCTCAACAAAATATACAAATGGCCAATGAAGACATAAAAAAGATGCTCTATATCATCAATCATTTTGAGAAGAGAACACACAGAAATTTCAAGATGAGGCCCCCACTTATTCTCTAGGTCAACTCAGGCCAGTCTTTCTCCACTATTGGAGCAGAAACGATTCTGACGCGAGTTCTCCAGATGTCCTGATCTGCTTCAGCCCTATAAGAACATCTAAGCGTGCTGTGGAACAATCCTTTTCTACACTGTAAATATGTATTACTCTCATGGGTTAATAAAAAGCTGACAGGCAGGTAGCTGCTCAGGAAGTTAGGCGGGAAAGCCACACTGAGAATGATGGGAAGGAGGGCGGAGTCAAAGGAATCGAGAGAGATGCCAGCCAGCCACCGAGTATGCAGTGTAAAAAATGAGGTAACAAGCCATGAGCCACGTGGCAAAGCATAGGCAGAAGTATGGGTTAATTTAAGTGTAAGAGTTAGCTAGTAACAAGCCTGAGCTATCGGTCAAGCATTTAAAACTCATTTTAAGCCTCTGAGTAAGTTATTCAGGACTGGGCGATAGGGAAAGGAAATGTCTGTTTACATATGGTGCCCAATGTGGGGCCAAAGTTTCCAAATAAAACCTGATAAAGCTTAAAAAAGGAGTCTAGACACAGAAGAACAGAGTCAAGCACGGCTTCTTGGTAGCTGCCTTTTCTCTAGCAGGCTCTGTCTGCTGGCGGTGAGCAGAGGCACAGCTCCTTTAAGAGACAGCTTCTTGGCTCAGTGCTAGTGGCAAAAACAGGTGGTTTTTTTAAGAGGTCCTACTACCAAACACTTACATGATGTTTATGAGGAGTCTGCAGCACATTACTTGGTGGCCGCATGGACCCAGAAATTTCACCGAGTTGGGGTGGTAAACATGGCTCCCAGAGCTGGCAATAAACATACCTCTGCCATGAGAACAGACTCTCAGGGAACTGAGGGGGTGGAGTCAGCACCAGATGCCATGATCTAAGTTACAGAACAGTTTTTTTTTTTTTTTTTTTGCTCATTCAGACAGAAAAGGTTACTGATGTACAACAAGGACAGATTCAGACAAAAAGAGCCTCTAAACGAGTCACAGAGTGTTTAAAAATATACGTAGGCTTGGGAGAGAAAAGAAAAAGGATAAAGTACTCAAAAAAGAAATAGGGTAATAAAAACATAATAAGCCATTTAAAGATGGAAAACACAGAGTCTGGGTTATGTGTATTATTGTGTTGTCTTTAAAATTTCTGGCTGCTAAGAGACCTTGGATCATGAAAACTGCTATAGTAAACTGACCTATATATTTAAAAATTATCTTGACTTCAAAATTTAAGTCAAAAGATATGTTACTTTGGGGGAGAGGTTATGCTTTTTTTTTTCCACAGGAAATGAGGGACTGCAGATTCATTCCGGGTTAAGGTTTGATCAAGGATGACTCCCTGAAAAATCTCCAATGGGAGTGGATGGCCCAGATGACCCAATGTTTCAGAGCACCTCCGTTACAATTTCCTCTGAGTTCTACATCCAGAACAGCTTCCAGGCTGCTGGCTGAGATGATCCAGCCTCACAGAATACTCCAGTCAGGACTTGACCATAATCCTAAATTTTCTCAAAGTCCCCCAGAGATTATCAGCACCCCCAATCAATAGGAAGTAGTCTAGAAAACTATGCCCACATTCCCAAAAAATGGGTTATGGATATTTATTATCATTTAAGAGGGGTTAGTTACAAGTTGTTACTGATAATGGTCATGGAAAAAGCTGAACAAAGGAGATTAGATTTATGGATCTCATTCTAAAAAGAAAAGGGTAAATAGAAGTGATAGGATAAAAGGGTAGATTATTGAATCTACTTTAATCCAAAAAACAACTATTAATCTTATATATTCTACATTAGTATGGATTTTGGTTGGTTGATACAAATTTAAAGTTACTTTTGTTATACTGTATGTGTATTTCTACTCTTGTTTAAAGTATTGTGTTTATGCAGCTCAATTAAAAATATAATGTATAATTAAGAAATACAGATTAGGGCTGGAGAGATGGTTCAGAGGTTAAGAGCACTGGCTGTTCTTCCAGAGGTCCTAAGTTCAATTCCCAGCAACCACATGGTGGCTCACAACCATCAATAATGAGATCTGGTGCCCTCTTCTGGCATACAGGCATATTGTATAATAAATAAACCTTAAAAAAATACAGATTAATAGTCATCTATAATAGTCACCCATATCTAGCAAACTTATGGTCATGTTAGTTAGGTTTTCTAGGTATACAGAAATATATTTCAGATAGATAGGTAATCTTCAAACACTTCAAAGACCAACAGAATATGGCATTTAAATGCTTTAATAACTTAGGCTTTTTAAGACAGTGAAATGTCTGTTTACAGAAGTGTACCTTTCCTTTTTCTATTTGCATGAGCTCCTATTAATTTCTCAAAAACCCAGTTTGGACTTCAATTCAGAAAAAGTTAGTCATTTCTCTCCCCATCACGTATTTTGTTATACACACACATTTACTCAACACTTGAGAAGTATGTCCTGACCATTTCCTAACATGTCAGTGACTGCTAAGGAATCTTACCATCATGGTCCTCTTGGTGAATAGATGTGACACAAGCCTATCAATTCACCAATCTGTGAGATAACTGCAGACACACTAGTCATCATCACTGTATAAATGAGGAAACAGAGTCCTACTTCAGGATAACCCTCTTGTACACTGTTAAGATTTGTCACTCAAATTGGTTTAATAAAACACTGATTGGCCAGTAGCTGGGCAGGAAAGTCAAACTCAGAATGCTGGGAAGAATGCGGAGTCAGGAGTCACCAGCCAAATGCAGAGGAAGCAAGATGAGCATGTCATACTGAGAAAAGGTACCAAGCCATGTGGCTAAACATAGATAAGAATTATGGGCTAATTTAAGTGTAAGAGCTAGTTAGTAATAAGCCTGAGCTACTGGCCAATCATTTATAATTCATATTAGGCCTCTGAATCATTTACGTGGGAAACAGCTGTTGGGTATTTGGGAGTTGCTAGCGGGACAGAAACTTCCCTCTGCAGCATCCCAGGCAGTTAGGGTAACTTCCGAGGGGTTCAGAGTGCACATACAGTGGATTTTGTCCTCACCCCAGCAGAGCTAACCCACAACTATTTTGACTAAGTACAGACATTTAACAACAAGTGGATAAACATGGTGGTGCTTGGTCTGTATGGCACAGCTCAGAGTGAACACTAGCTAGTTTTCCCTCCAGCTCACTCCCTCCTTGCACAGGACTTGACTGCAGTTCATGTAGCACTGTGATGGAGAACTTGCCTCGAATGCATGAAGCCCTGGTTAAGTCTTCACACTGCAGAAACACTGAAAACGAACAAATCATCAACAAGAAGCCCCACTGGAATTACACCCATGCCTATTCACTGTCCCAGGAACTTGTCAGGCAGTTTTAGCTTCTTCCAAGAGGACACATTTCCTTATTCATTGGAATCAAATACAACTTACCTCTGAGCCACCATTCTGCGGCTATATTGAAAATTCATTTCCTGTAGCCCCTCTGACCTTTCCTAGGACCATAGAAAGGTTGAGCGGGTGTCTTTTCTTCTTAAATCATGCTTTAATATAAAATGTTTCTGCCTAACTTTCTGCCACAGGGTCTATCTTTTTGTTTTGTCTTGAGATAGGGTTTCTCTTTGTAGCTTTGGAACCTTTCCTGGAACTCACTTTGTAAACCAGGCTGGCCTGCTTCTCCTTCCCAAGTGCTGGGATTAAAGTGTGCGCCACCACTGCCAGGTGCCACAGGGTCTAAATCCGTGTCCTCAACTTTCGTGTAGCAATTGCTACTCTTGGTCACTCCCCTGTAACTGTAAAACTTCCTTCCTTGATTTCTATGATTATTTTAATCTCTCAGGCCCACTCTTTCTCAGTCTTGTTAGCCCTCTCTGCTCAACCAGAAAATGCTGTAAGCGCTCAGAGCTCACTTATCTGTCTATATATGCTTAGATAATATCTGGCCCAACAGCTGTCCTTACGGAGATACAGAACAGTCAAAGTCCTGAGAATAAGAGATCAAGTGATCAGCCCTAAAGGGGAAATCTGTATCAACACCCTTCTCCTCCACCAAGGCTCAGGGAATTTACTGAAAGATGAAACGGTAAGAATGCAAGAGCTAGGCTGGTCTAGTGGAAGTCGGCTGTCCCCCAAGAATGTAAGAGCTGGGGGTGGTAAAGAGTGTTGTGAAATGCTCCCTTCTGGATATGGCAAGGTGTTCAGTAGCTGCACTTACCTGCACAAGACCAGCCAAAGTGCCAGCACAGAGTGGGCGGGTAATTTCCGGGCCCCACCCCTTGCTGAGCTCTTGGCAAGTGGGAAATGGCCAGGTGAAGAAGATCGTTGAGGATGTAACCCGTGGTAGGAGGGAGTCCTATGCATGGTCGTCCCACACCCATGCACATGTAGACTCAGTTGGCTGTTTTAAAAAGGCGCGAAATTGGGATGGCTTTTGACTGCCGTGTTCACCGCTGTTACCAGCTCAGCCCCTGAAGGCTGGCTTACATCACAGCTAAATGATCAACACACACTGACCGACACTGTTCTTCCCTGCTATAAAAGCCACAAACAACCAGCAGTTACTCTTTTGTTTTTAGTGGAGAAAAGTAAAACCGGACTCCACAAAGTGCTTTTTTTTTGACCCGGGAAGCGTCGGTGTCAGCTTGTGCGGCTGAGGCGGACGCCGCGGACGGACGCTGGGCTGGGCGTGTTCTCTGCAGGATAACTCCGAGCTCTAACTGGTGGGGCCGCCCTTTCCGACCCGCGGGCCTGCAGACGGACCACACCTCTTCCGCCAGCGCCCCTCGGCGGGCGCCGAGGGCTGCCGAGTGCGCATGAGCAATTCAAAGCGGCGCGGGAAGACTCGCGCAGGCGCGTCCGGGGACTGGCTCGGCCGGCGCTCCCGGCGGCCGCGACCGTGGACGTCCCGGCTCCCGTGAACCGTGAGTCTCTGACAGTGTGCGCCACCGCTCTGGACTGTGAGGGGTCAGGAGCGGACTCTCGACCGGGACTGAGGTTCTGTCGCCCCGCCAGCCTCCTGGGAGCTTCTCCGCGGGCTCCCGCGGCGGCAGGAGGTGCGCCTGCGCACTGCGCTTCCCGTTGCCGTGCGGGTGTTCCCCGCGCTCGCCCAGGCCGGCCCATTCATTCTTCGCTGCCCCGGCGGTCCGGCCGGGCGCTCGCGGTTGGCACCGAGCCGCCCTGGGCCGGTTTGAGCGGGGCCGTGGGCCAGCCTCCCGGCGTGCAATCTCCTCCCGGGGCTTCTCGGGTCCAACCGCGGTCCCTCCCCAACAGCCGCCGGCGGGCGGGTCCCCACCCCGGCCCGCGGGAGTTCCCGCCCAGCCCCGGGCCAGCGACGCCTCCCGGGCTGGGATTGGGACCCCTGGGGAGAGGGGATTTTAATGTTGGTGCCCGTGCCTGGGTCAGCGAGTGACTTCGCCTTCCTCACAGTGTTCTGATTCCCACAGCGGCTGCACTCCCCGGTGGACATGCCTGTGTTGTAGCTGACCTTCTGCACCCCAGGTGTGTGTGGTGGGAGCCTCCTAGGGTACTCAGATGGAGGAGCCCATGGCGTTTTCTTCCCTGCCTGGCTGTGACAGGAGTCCTGCTGTCGACTCGTTAAAAAGATATGAGCAGAATGTGAAACTTTCAGGTATGCACGGGCGGCTGGCGAGTCTGCGTTTTCTCATTCGTTAAAAACTAGGAGGAAAGAGAAGCTCCCTTCAAATTAAATTACTGTCTCGGAAATAAACAACAACAACAACAAAACACGAACACCTGACTCTTAGGTCTTCATGTGTCCATGTAGATTCATGAAATCTAGATTTAGGATTGGATTGCATTTTAAGAGGATTGAGCCAAGTGGTGGTAGTGCACACCTTTAATCCCAGCATTCAGGAGGCAGAGGCAGGCAGATCTCTGTGAGTTCAAGGCCAGCCTGGTCCACAGATCGAGTTCCAGGACAGCCAGGACTGTTATATAGAGAAACCTTGTCTCGGGAAACCAAAAAAAAAAAAGGGATTGGAATCCAACTTTGTCCTTTTAGATGAACTTGGTTAGGTCCAAATGTTAGTGACTTTCTAGGGAAACAGGTTGTGTTGGTTTTAGAAACTGATAGGGAAGGAATTTTAAGTATTCAGAAACAATTCACAGAATGGAATGGTTTGTAGCAGTGATGGAACACCACTTCTCACGATTCAAGATGATGACTGAAAGTACGGGATCTTAGGAACTAAAACGTGCCCCTTCAGCTGGGCATGGTGGTACACATCCATAAATTCAGGTGGCGGTGGAGGCACGAGGATCAGGAGTTCAAGCCCAGCCTGGGCTACTTGAGACCCTGTCTCAGCCCCACCTCCAGAAACAATGTATGTCTTCATAAAATTGTGCACAGTGCCCATGTGTCAGTGTTCATTTAACATACGTGTTTTTAAGCAGAAGAGTCCCAGTTGACTGTATTCTTTCCTAAAATCTAGCCATCCTCTTTGTCCTAAGAAAATTTAGTCTTGTCCAAGAAGATACTAATTTTGACTTTTGATTTATGGTATGCACTTTATTTGTTGTCCGCTGTTCTAAGAGACACTCCAGATTAACTTCAGGCTCTGTTGCATCAGGGAGGAACAGTTTCTATGAACTGAACCCCGAACAGCTGTATTTATGGATTGTTACACAAAAGGTTGTGTGTGTGTGTGTGTGTAGGGGGGGGGACAAGTTCCTCATACCAACGCCCTGATCTAATCTGTATGTTTCCTGAAAGAAGCATCACACCCTTGCAACTCTAGTTCTTACTGTGCACTGTGTGCAGTACCCAGTAAAGCAGGACGCTCCAGGTGTGCCAGGGCCTTATTGTGGCCAGAGCCATGCAAGACCACAAAGCTTCTTCAGAAAAACACTCTAGAGATAACAGAAAACAATCACCGTTTCCTGCACTGATTTCTTTAAGGTCTAAGTACTTAAAACAACTGTTCATGCTGATGTTTACCTTAGATACAGTGAAAACAACTATTTCATTCTAATGTTTATCCTAGACACAATGATCCTACTACTTTTTCCTCTGTAGTTTGTAAACTCCCAAAAGCTTTAATGTCACTTAAAAAGCATAATGTCACATATTTTTGGTTTCTTTTTTTGAGACAGGGCTTCTCTGCGTAGCTTTGGAGCTTTTTCCTGGAACTCACTTTGTAAACCTGGCTGGCCTCGAACTCACAGAGATCCACCTGCCTCTGCCTCCCGAGTGCTGGGATTAAAGGTGTGCACCACCACCACCGCCGGGCTTGTATTTTTGATTTCTTGACTAAAACTAAACTGTTATTTATTGTCACAATGAGAACCCCTCTCAGTGTCCCCCCTCTCCATGGTGATGAACACCACTGTTACTGTGATTTAAAAGCTTGAGGCTCCTCTTCCCTTCCTTGTTGAAGTACCATTAACTTCTTTAACCTAAACTGTCTGCTTCCGTTCCTCTTAGATTTCCAGTCCATTTTATATGCTTTAGATTGATCTTAAAATACTACTGTTGCCTGGTTTCCCCTGTCCTTTATTTTTTAAAATAACTTATTTTTCAGTCTGGCTTTTTTTTTTTTTTTTTTTGGTTTTTCGAGACAGGGTTTCTCTGTATAGTTTTGGTGCCTGTCCTGAATCTCACTCAGGACCAGTAGACCTATAGTACCAGGCTGGCCTCAGACTCACAGAGATCCTCCTGCCTCTGCCTCCCGAGTGCTGGGATTAAAGGCGTGCACCACCACCACGCGGCATCTGGCTTTTTTTTTAATTAATAAATACACATACATACATACGCAATAGCATAGTCATATTCTTGTATCACAGCATTCCGTATTCATTTTGGCCTCTCATTCACATTTTTCATCGACTGGAGTGTGTGAATGCATGAATCTGATCTGGTTCTAGAATTATTTTCAGAGGAATGCTCCTTTTCTGATATCTTGAAAATGGGATGAATTAGGGGGGTGATTTTTATTTCTGGTTTCAAAAGTTTTGTAGCTGTTATGCAACCCAACTTAGGCCATTGCAAATAGTGCCCATGATAACTTATAAAACATGCCGAAATTTTATCCATGAGTTCTTTACTGTGACTCTTAATAAAAGCGAAAGCCATGTCAGAAATACCACTTTAGGAAAGACTAGTAGATGAGGTCCAGGCTTACCATAAGTCAGATGAGATAGATCATGAAGCAGTTATGTGCCTACATTACCTTAACTCCTTATTGAAGTTTCAGCTTTTTTGGTGGGGGTTTTGGGACTTTTTGTCTATCTTTGCATATGTAGAACCAAAGAGGATCCAGCCCACAGTAGGGGTTTGTTAGTATTAAATGATATAAAATAAATGCCTAGTATAGCAGATGAATAGCAAAGGTCTTTGTTTAGTAGTATTGTTGAATTTTTGTAATAACAACAAATTATTCATGCTTATTGAAGAAAATTTAGGAAAATAAGAAAGCCTAAGTAAAATATTTCCAGTATTTAGTCCTTTAGTTGTGTGTGCGTGTAGATAGAACACACATATGCACATGTATGTAGAGGCCAGAGGACAGCCTGTGCATCATTCCTCAAGTACTGCCACCCTTTCTGTTTTTAAGACAGGGTCTCTTTGGCCTGAAGCCTGCCAGTTTGGCTAAGCTGGGTTGCAGGCGTTCCTCAGAGATCCGCTTTTCTCCACTGCTCCGGCCCTGGGATTAAAAGTGTGGGCCACCATGCCTGGCTTTTTGACATGGGTTTTGGGATCAGACTCAGGTCCTCATACTTTTCAAGGCAAGCATTTACCAACTAAGCTATCTTCCTGGGCCTAGGATATATATTTTAAAATTAAGTTGGGATCATAACATATTTCTAACTTTGTTTCCCCCTCAGTGTTAGGAGTAGGATTCAGAGTTTTGTGTTTTTAGGCAAGTACCCCACCTCTGAACACCACACCCAACTCCTCTGTTCTATTTTGCTTAGTATATATTTTGAAAATTTCTTAGATACTTAACTATTCTACATCTTCGTTTAAATTTCATTGTTTAATATGCTGTCATTTCTTTTTATTGTTGAAGCTTTGAATCATTTTCAGTTTTTCCCTACTAAGAAAAATGCTGCACTGCATAGGTGCCAGGCAGCAGTTGGATTAAATGCTTGTTGTTTCAACAAACTTGTTTTTTATGTTGTATGTTCCAAGTTTAAGGACAAAAAAAATATTTGATGAAAGAATGAAGTTTAAGCCGGGCAGTGGTGGCGCACGCCTTTAATCCCAGCACTCGGGAGGCAGAGCCAGGCGGATCTCTGTGAGTTCGAGGCCAGCCTGGGCTACCAAGTGAGTTCCAGGAAAAGGCGCAAAGCTACACACAGAGAAACCCTGTCTCGAAAAACCAAAAAAAATAAATAAATAAATAAAAAAGAATGAAGTTTAAATTATATATGCCAAGTGTTTCCTCATAGTGTTCAAGTAGAGGGTCTGAGTACCCAAGTGCATTCTTTACAGTAAGTACAGGATACCTGAGTGCATGCTTTACAGTGGGTACAGGATACCCAAGTGCATACTTTATAGTGGGTACAGGATACCCGAGTGCATGCTTTACAGTGGGTACAGGATACCTGAGTGCATGCTTTTACAGTGGGTACAGAATACCCGAGTGCATGCT